CCTGTTTCAAAAGAAAATAACAATAAAAATAAAAACCTGGGTATAGGGTCAGGTGCATTGGCTCACGCCTGTAATCTCAGCATTTTGGGACACTAAGGCTGAGGTCAGGGGTTCGAGACCAGCCTGACCAACATGGTGAAACCTCATCTCTACTAAAAACACAAAAATTGGCCAGGTGTGGTGGCACATGCCTGTAATCCCAGCTGCGTGGAAGGCTAAGGCAGGAGAATCGCTTGAATCTGGGAGGCAGAGGTTGCAGTTAGCCAAGATCACACTATTACACTCCAGCCTGGACAACAAGAGCAAAACCCTGTCTCAAAAACAAAAAAGTAAGTAATAAAAATCAAAACCATGTCTTGAGCTGGGTGTGTTTGTGTGTGCCTATAATCCTAGCTTTTCAAGAGATTGAGGCAGGAGGATCACTTGAGCCCGGAGTTCAAGTCCAACCTGGGCAACATAACAAGACCTGTTCTCCTTAAAAAGAAAAAAAAACCAAAAACCCAAGGCCAGGTGGGCAGCTCACAAGTTCAGCCATTTGAGACCAGCCTGACCAACATGGTAAAACCCCATCTCTACCCACGTGCCTGTAATCCCAGCTACTCAGGAGGCAGAGGCAGGATGATTGCTTGAATCAGGTAGGCAGAGGTTGCAATGAGCCGAGATCATCGCTCCTCTGCACTCCAGCCTGGGTGACAGAGTGAGACTCTGTCTCAAAAACAAACAAACAGAATCCAAACCATGTTTTAAAAAGGTAGTGCATGGTGGCTCACGCCTGTAATCCCAGCACTTTGGGAGGTCAAAGCAGGCAGATCACTTCAAGTGAGGAGTTCGAGACCAGCCTGGCCAACATGGCAAAACCCCATCTCTACTGAATGAAAATACAAAAGTTAGCTGGGCTAGCAGTTGGTGGTGGTGGGCGCCTGTAGTCCCAGCTACTTGGGAGGCTGAGGCAGGAGAATCCCTTGAACCCGGGAGGTGGAAGTTGCAGCAAGCCCACATAGTACCACTGCACTCCAGCTTGGGTGACAGAGTGAGACTCCACCTCAAAAAAAAAGAAGCTCTTTAAGGAACCAAAACATATAGCCTGACTGACTGCAGGAAGTGTCATGGGGAATGTTAGAGTGTTTTATTTTTAATTTCTTCATCAGACAAGTGTTTAGGAAACTCACTCCAGGGCAAGTGCTGTGCTAGGCTCTGCGGATGCCAAGAGGGAAAACTTACTGTCCCTGCCTCCACGGAGTTCATGGTCTAGTGGGAAACCCGACACGTTCAGGTACCTTCAAATGGGCGTTCAGAGGAGTAACCCTTTGCTAACCTTTAAAAATGTTTAAAGGTGTCTAAGACCCGTAGGTCAAAGTCAGATTTCAGTTCCAGCTGATTAGACCTGCACCACAAAGGGGTTCCTGTAGGCGAGGCTGTGTCCCTAGTCACCGAGGTATTCAAGCACAGTGCTGGGGGCAATGTGGGAATATCTTCTTTTGTTTAGGAAGTAATGTAAAGTCAATTGCATGAACAGATCCTTAAGCATTCATTGAGGTTTTTGGCAGGAATGGAGCACGGCGAAGGTGTTCCTCATCTCCCTGACACCAGGCATGATCTAGCGCTGATTAGAGATGTCAGCGATCTGCTCTAGTCTCTTACCTAAAACAAGAGTGTTGTAGTTTCGTTTCATAGACAAGGGGTCTGAGCCAAACAGGTTATGTCACTTTCCAAGTCCCCATAGCACAGAAGTCTTCTGCCTCCCCATCCTGACCTTCCCAGCTCATAGGAACTATCAAAGGCAGCAGCTCTGGCCTGGGCATGGTGGCTCACGCCTGTAATCCCAGTTACGTTAGGAGGCTGAGGCAGGAGGATCACTTGAACCTAGGAGTTCAAAACCAGCCTGAGGAACATGGTGGGACCCTGTCTCTACAAAAATTAAATAAAAAAGAAAATTAGCCAGGCATGTGGTGTGTGCCTGTGGTCTCAGGTACTCAGGAAACTGAAGTGGGAGGTTCACTTGAGCCTGAGAGGTAGAGGCTACAGTGAGCCGTGATCACACCACTGCACTGGACAACAGGAGACTCTGTCTTCGCCAAAAAACAAAGCAAAACTATATACAGATACAGATATAAAGTAGCAGCTCCATTGCTGATAGAAGGGACAGTAATGAGGAGCCCTGCAGGTCTTATTCCACTCTTCCTAGCTGCAAGCTTTCTTGCTGGTAGCAGATGACATCATGGATTCATCCCTCACCCGCCGGGGACAGCTCTGCTGGTATCAGAAGGTAATGGGGGCAGTAAAGTAGCAGTGGGTATAGGGACAGGCCACAGGGAGGTGGTTACATATGGCCTGGTTGAGGTGTTGGGGTGATGGCTTTTAGTATGAACCGAGGCTAGAGATGGATTGCTTGTTTTTCTCTCTGCCATCCCAGCCAGGTGTGGGTTTGGATGCCGTCAATGATGCTCTCCTTCTGGAAGCATGTATCTACCGCCTGCTGAAGCTCTACTGCCGGGAGCAGCCCTATTACCTGAACCTGATTGAGCTCTTCCTGCAGGTGTGCTGCAGACAGGGCCCCATGCCCAGAGGCTGCCACTGGTAGCCTTGGCCTCTATGGGACACGCTCATCTAGCTGGTTTCAAGGCACAGGATCACAGGGGTCCTGGGAGGGAAAGAAAGGAAGGAAGTTGGGAAGTGGCAGAAAGGACTTCTCTGTCCCTGTGTGATTAGAAGGAAGGGTGGGTGATAAAGGACTGTGTGTATGAATATGGACCTTGAGTTTTGGGACCTTCTCTTCTGTTGCCTTTCTGATTCTGCCCAGTTGTCAGCTGTTACGGGATGTTGTGCTCAGGATATCAAGGTTTCCCATATCTGGAGAAAGGCTGGCTCATGGGCTGTCTTCGTCTTCTTTAGAGTTCCTATCAGACTGAGATTGGGCAGACCCTGGACCTCATCACAGCCCCCCAGGGCAATGTGGATCTTGGCAGATTCACTGAAAAGAGGTGAGGGAGAGGGCGAACCAGACACAGCAAGGGAGGGTGCAGGATGCGGACTGCCCTCCTGAGGAGTTTCTCTTCTCCCCCTACCCAGGTACAAATCTATTGTCAAGTACAAGACGGCTTTCTACTCCTTCTACCTTCCTGTAGCTGCAGCCATGTACATGGTGAGTGAGCCTCCTCACCCCTCTCCGCCCTGCTGATGGGGGGGCTTTTGGACAGGAAGGCATACAGGAGGCAACGTGAACCCTCTGCTACCCCTGGTGAAGGGCTGTGTGACCTTGAGCAAATCAGTCTCGCTGAGTCTCTTTCCTCAACCGGGGATAAAATTCCTACTTCACAGGACTGTTCTTTAAGCAAGTTGGCTGGGTGTGGTGGCTCACGCCTGTAATACCAGCACTTTGGAAGGCTGAGGTGGGTGGATCACCTGAGGTGAGGAGTTCCTGACCAGCCTGACCAACATGGAGAAACCCCATCTCTGCTAAAAATACAAAATTAGCCAGACGTGGTGGTGTACGCCTGTAATCCCAGCTACTTGGGAGGCTGAGGCAGGAGAATCACTTGAACGCAGGAGGCAGAGGTTGTGGTGAGCCGAGATCTAGATTGTGCCATTGCACACTCCAGCCTGCACAACAAAAGCGAAGCTCAAAACTATCTCAAAAAGAAAAGAAAAGATTAAGCAAGGCTAGGGATATGAAAGTGCTTAGCCCATAATAGGGGAACAATAAATCCTGCGTCTGAGTATGGGTAGGCGTGCAGAGGAGATCATCCTGGTTGAGGGAGAAAGTGGGTTAAAGGCAGTCAGTGGGATTAACTGCCTACCCTGACCTTGCTTCTCCACATTTCCTTTTCATCTTGAAAGAAGTTGGAGATGGCCGGGCGTGGTGGCTCACGCTGTAGTCCCAGCACTTTGGGAGGCTGAGGTGGGTGGATCACGAGGTCAGGAGTTCGAGACCAGCCTGGCCAGCATGGTGAAACCCCATCTCTACTAAAAATACAAAAAAAAAAAAAAAATTAGCCGGGCATGGTGGTACATGCCTGTCGTCCCAGATAATTCAGGAGCCTGAGACAGGAGAATTGCTTGAACCCACCAGGCAGAGAGGTTGCCGTGAGTCAAGATCGTTTCACTGCACTCCAGCCTGGGTGACAGAGTGAGACTCCCTCTCATAAAGAAGTTGAAGGTAAAAATATTAGGAATATGGATCAGAATGAGACTTGGGGACTGACATTTGTGAGGGAAGAGACAGGCTGAACACCTTTAGAATGGATTTATCTCTGTTAGGACTCGCAGGAAGGTCTAGCCAAAAATAAGTGGGATTGTGGTTGGATCATCAGTCAAGGAGTTTCTAGGTCAGGGAAGCCAAGATATCTGAAGAGAGGAGAGATTTGGGGCTGCAGGAGGGCAAGACTCCACGGGAGAAAGCAGCCAGGAATATGCAGGCACCTCTGGGGTTTGGCTTATTAACTCCCCTTTCCTTATAGGCAGGAATTGATGGCGAGAAGGAGCATGCCAATGCCAAGAAGATCCTGTTGGAGATGGGAGAGTTCTTTCAGATTCAGGTAGGAAGGCAGGAGGCAGCTGCAGGGAACAGGCACCAGCTTCACTCCTCCTCTGCCTGGGAGCCTCATCCCTCTCCTTTGCTGCCCCTCCCCCACCCAGGATGATTACCTTGACCTCTTTGGGGACCCCAGTGTGACTGGCAAAATTGGCACTGACATCCAGGACAACAAATGCAGCTGGCTGGTGGTCCAGTGTCTGCAACGGTCCACTCCGGAACAGCGCCAGATCCTGAAGGTGCTTGAGAGCGGGTGGTGGGTCCCTGAGCTGGTGAGAAAGGGCCAGAGCAGTGGTTCCTAACTGGAGGCAGTTTTGCCCCCGAGGGGACATTTGGCAATGTCAGCAGACATTTTTTGTCATCGTCATCACAACTCTGTGTGTGGTACAGGCATCTAGTTGGCAGGAGCCAAAGATGTTGCCAAACATGTAACACACAGAACAGCAAACATCGCCCCCAAACAGGATTATCTGGTCCCAAATTTCAATTGTGCCAAGGTTGAGAAACCCTGGAGTAGAGGATGCTGTGGTCTGAGCCAATATGTGGGGAATATTTGGGATGGTGAAGGGAAGCTTGGGATCTTAGCTATCTAGAGACACTTGAAAATTGGAGGCAGGAAGGGAGTGGGTGGCTTTGGAGATGTTCTGGAATATGTGAATGAAGGGAGCTGGGGCGGGGGGGGTGTCCTGGAGGCTCTGGGGAAGGCCAAGCCTGGTTTCCTGTCTCCAATCCCTTCCAGGAAAATTACGGGCAGAAGGAGGCTGAGAAGGTGGCCCGAGTGAAGGCATTATATGAGGAGCTGGATCTGCCGGCCGTGTTCTCGCAGTATGAGGAAGACAGTTACAGCCACATTATGGGTCTCATTGAACAGTACGCAGCGCCCCTGCCCCCAGCTATCTTTCTGGGGCTTGCGCGCAAAATCTACAAGCGGAAAAAGTGACCTAGAGACTGCAAGGGCGGATAGGAGGCTCTCAATAAATAAATTATTGTGTAATTTTGTGGTTCTGTTCATGCTTGGCCCAGCCGGAGTCTGGTTCTCTCTAGAATGCTCGGAGTGGGGTGCTGGGAGGACTCGGTGCACGGAAGCAGAACCCAGGGGCCTTGGCACCGGGGCCCCTTGGGGCCAAAAGCTTAGGATACAGCCAACCCGCTGGGCGGGTGACACCAGACGCTAAGCGCTAGGGGCGGGGCCGAGCTACGCCACGCCCATGCGCGAAGGGGTGCAGCTGCGCGGCGAAGAGTGGGTTGTCCTAGAGCCCCTCCCCGCCTGCTCTGTGCCCCGCCGGGCGGGGACCGTGGGAGCCGCGGACAAGCCCAAGGCCGGAGCGGTTCCAGGAGGACCCTGGTGAGGAGGGCTCGGCCCATGGGTGTAGACCGATAGACCAGGGTACGCGGGGCGGGGCCGGACAAATGAATAGAGAAAGGGTGCGGTGGTGGCTGAATGATGGAGACGGATGCGGAGAGAATGGACACACCGCTGTTCCAAGGGGCGAGGGCGCAGGCTGGAGCCCAGCCGAGGCAGCCGGCGGATGCGGAGTTGAGAAGCTGACGGCTGCTCCATCCTTTTCTCCTCCAGCCGTCACCCTTTTTCTGCATTTACCAGGCAAACTCTGCGTATTGCCCCACCCCCATCCCCTGCCTCCTTTCAGGGCATCTGGGTGGGTCTCCTTGGGTCCCTTAATCTGGGAGTAAGGGGTAGGCTGGAGGTCAGGGCCAGTTTGCGGCAGCAGGGACCCGGCAGTCCATTCTGGGCCCCGACCTCTTCCAGGCCTCCACCCCTCTTCGGAGATCCAGAGCGCAGCCGCGTTCTCTTACCCTCCCCGCTCCATTCCCGGGGGGTTACATTCGACTCCACCTGCAAACACTGCAGTGAAAACTAATGGCCAGTCGATTGCGATTTGCATCTCATTGAAATATCTTTCAAAGCAGTCAGAGCCTTCAGGCCTGCTGCTGCCGTCAGTCACCTCGGTGTCCTTCCCGCAGCTCTTGTCCTCACTGGCTGGGCTTCGCCACCCCTGTCTTCTAGGTCTTCACCTGTGGTTGCCAGGTAGGTGGATGTGAGAGACCCAATCCTCCTGGTGTTCTAGAGGCCATCCCATCGCCGCTGGCACAATGCTGTCCCCTCAGAGAGCTTTACTCTGCAACCTCAACCACATCCACCTCCAGCACGTCTCCCTGGGCCTGCACTTGTCCCGCCGTCCTGAGCTACGGGAGGGGCCCTTGAGCACACCCCCTCCCCCAGGAGACACTGGGGGCAAGGAGAGCAGGGGTCCCTGCAGTGGCACCTTGGTGGACGCCAATTCCAACAGCCCAGCTGTGCCCTGCCGGTGCTGCCAAGAGCACAGTCCGGGCCTAGAAAACCGGCAGGACCCGTCACAGGAGGAAGAGGGGGCTGCCTCCCCCTCAGACCCAGGCTGCTCATCCTCGCTCAGCTCCTGCTCAGATCTTAGCCCCGATGAGTCCCCTGTCTCTGTCTACTTGCGGGACCTCCCTGGTGATGAGGATGCCCACCCTCAGCCCAGTATCATCCCCCTGGAGCAGGGCTCCCCACTGGCTTCAGCAGGCCCTGGCACCTGCTCACCGGACAGCTTCTGCTGCTCTCCTGATTCCTGCTCCGGAGCTACTTCTTCACCCGACCCTGGCCTGGACTCGAACTGCAATGCCCTGACCACCTGCCAGGACCTCCCTTCCCCAGGCTTGGACGAAGAAGACGAGAGCGCGGAGCAGGATCTCCCTACCTCGGAGCTCTTGGAGGTGGATGACGGGAAAATCGACGCTGGGAAAACGGAGCCCAGTTGGAAGATTAACCCCATTTGGAAAATTGACACAGAGAAAACTAAAGCTGAATGTAAAATCACTGAAAACAATAACACTGGTTGGAAAAACAACGGGAATGTTAACTCTAGCTGGAAAAGTGAACCTGAAAAATTTGACTCTGGTTGGAAAACCAACACAAGAATAACTGATTCTGGCTCGAAAACAGATGCAGGGAAAATTGATGGAGGATGGAGAAGTGACGTCAGCGAGGAGCCGGTGCCCCACCGGACAATCACGTCCTTCCACGAGCTGGCCCAGAAGCGCAAGCGGGGCCCAGGGCTGCCCCTCGTCCCGCAGGCCAAGAAAGATCGCAGTGACTGGCTCATAGTCTTCTCCCCCGACACCGAGCTGCCCCCGTCGGGGTCGCTGGGCGGCTCCTCTGGACCTCCTCGGGAAGTCACCACCTTCAAGGAACTCCGGTCCCGAAGCCGGGCCCCACCCCCGCCAGTCCCGCCTCGAGACCCCCCAGCAGGCTGGGCTTTGGTCCCGCCCCGGCCCCCACCCCCACCTGTCCCTCCCCGAAGAAAGAAGAACCGACCAGGACTGCAGCCCATAGCGGAAGGGCAGTCCGAGGAGAGCCGGGCTATCAGCCCCGCAGCTGGTGAGGAGGCCCCAGCCGCGAAGGAGCCGAAGGAGCCGGGCGCGCAGGCCGGCCTGGAGGGTAAGAGGTTGTCAGAAGCGGGAGGAGGGCTGGGCTTCGGCCGCTCACGCCTCCTAGCCTTCCAACCCCGCCCCCTGTCTTCCCTCCATTCTGTGTCTCCCATCCTCCGGGGCCCTTCTACCAGGGAGCGCTCCGGGAAAGGGAAACTGGTCATTGGGTTACGGGACTAACTCTTTGCTCCCTCTTTTTCCCGCCCCTCCTTGCCTGGCTGCCCATCCCGCTGCCCTCCTTCCCTCTGCGCCTGGCCCCGCCAATCCTGCCTGCAGCCGGTCCCCTCCTGCTCCCTCCGCCCCTGGTTTTCCGGTTCTCGGCCGACGGGCGCCCCCTGTTGGAGGGTGGGGGCGCGGGCGCAGCTGGGTCTCTGCTCCTGGCGCCTCTGGCCGGGTGGCCCGGCGCCGGGCTGCGGCTGCTGGGGGCGCCGACCCCCCCAGAGGAACAGCTGCTGCCGATCCGCCTGTCCCCAGTGGGAGCCTATTCGCCTCCGACTCGGGGAGCCTTGCCCTGCCTGGCCAGCCCCGAGCTGGCACTGCTGCTATCCCCGCTCTTTCCCAGAAGTAGCACCTTCCCCGCCGCGGCTCCCCCACCCCGCCAGGTACCCGCCCCCCCGCTGCCACCGCAACCTCGTCCGCCGAAGGCCCCTCGCTGGACCAGGAGCCCATCGCCTCAGCCCAGGCTACGTAAGACGGACCCGGGCAAGCCCCGCGGGCCACGCCTCTGGCGGGCCACCCCGCCCACCCCAAAGCCCCCTCCACTCTCGTCCGACCCCGTTTTCGCTTTTTTTCCGGGGTTGCTTGGCTTGGTCCCGCCCTTCAGTTTCGGCCGACTCCAAGCAAGTTAGTTGGTCTTGGGGAGTCTGGCCACGTTCCTCGTGGTGGAGGGGGGAGCTGTTGCCCTTTCTGTTCCGTGGCCCGGTCCCCTCTCCCAGACACGCCTGGGCATAGTGGACGCGGGCTTACCCAGCCTCCATGCCAAGTCTAAGGGGGTCCCAGCGAGTCTTTTGTTAGGGACTTTGGGTCACACGGTCCGTGGAATTCCTTGGGCTATGCAGCTCGGGCCTGTCCCCCACCTTGTTCTGGATGGGTGGAGGGTGAAGTTCCCGGGAGCTCATTGGTACTAGAGGTTCTGACCACGTCCTCTCCTCGAGTCCAGTCCCACGCCAGCTGAAGGGGCACCCTCCGCCGAGGGGCTGCTATGGGATCCGGGTTTCCCCTTTCCGGCGCCTTCCAGCCTCCCAATCCTCGGGTCTCGCCTGCCTCCGTCTCCTCCCTTTTCCCCTCTGTCTGTCTTTCCATTGGGCCATACCGCCCACGTGCTCTCCCGGGCCCCGCAGGCTGGACGCGGCCCTGGGGCTGTGCGCAGGGCTGCTCCTCCCTCCCGCGCCCTGTCCTCTCCGGCCCTACAGGCCTAGCGGGGTAGGCGGGAGGTGAGCGTGGCCATCCCGCTCCCGGATTTCCGGGATCCTGGAGGGGGGGGGGGGCGGCTGTGGCCTGAGGGAGGGCACCGGGAACCGGGGTGGGCCTGGGGACACCTAGTGCTGGGAAGTGGCAGGATTTCTCTCGGGAGCCCGGGTCGAGCTGCCCCGTGCTCCAGGCGGCCCTGCGCCTCATCTCCCCAAGACCCTTCGGGGACAGAGCGCTGCAGACCCGCGGGAGACAACTTGTGCGGGAGCCCGGAGTCCTCGGAATAACCCTTGGTAAGTGTCACCACGTCCTTCTTCCCTTACCCCAGTCCGTAGTTCGTGGTCGTTCGCCGGTGTCCCCGGGGCCCAGCGGCTGTGGATGGCAGAAACCCAGAGTGGGACTGGTCAGCTGCAGGAGCAGAAGAAAGGTAGGGCACCCTGACTCCCGACCCCGCGCTGCCGAAGGAACCACCCCTCGCCCCGGCCCTGCTCTCTGGCTGTCAGGAGCCAGTCTCTCCACGCCTCTCGGGCAAGCCTGGGTAGGGGCGCGGCCTCCTAGCGTCTTCCCTTTTCCGCCCCTCCAGGTCTCCTGATAGCTGTCAGCGCCTCCGTGGATAAAATCATCTCGCATTTCGGGGCCGCCCGGAATTTGGTGCAGAAGGTGAAGGTGGCTGGGGGGAGGCTGTTGGGGACGAGGAGAGTCATGGAGCTCCGCGGGGGGTGCGGGAACGGTTGGCAGGAGGTGGCTGAAGGGATCTCTGGACCCATCCGCATCGCGCCGCCTCCAGGCCCAGTTGGGTGATAGCCGGCTGAGCCCGGATGTGGGGCACCTGGTGCTGACCACCCTCTGCCCGGCCCTCCATGCCCTGGTGGCGGACGGGCTGAAGCCTTTCCGGAAGGACCTCATCACCGGGCAGCGCAGGAGCAGCCCCTGGAGCGTGGTGGAGGCATCGGTCAAGCCAGGTGAGCTGGGAGGGCGTGGGACCCGACAGTGCACAGGGCAGGGCCGGGCTTGGCTGACTTCACCCCACGTTCTCAGGCTCCAGCACCCGCTCCCTGGGAACCCTGTACAGCCAGGTCAGCCGTCTAGCTCCGCTGAGCAGCAGCCGTAGCCGCTTCCATGCCTTTATCCTGGGCCTCCTCAAGTGAGTTGCTTTCTTCCCAGTGCCCTTCCCACGACCTGGGACCGCAGGAGCGTCATGGGTGGGACACAGGAGTAGTGCCTGACGTCCCCAGAGAAGGCCTCCCCTCTTCCAGTCTTTTCTCCCGTCCTCCACCTCCTTGAACTTCCATTCCCTTTTCTCCCTCAGCACCAAGCAGTTGGAGCTGTGGTTTTCCAGCCTCCAGGAAGATGCAGGTCAGAGGCTCAGATGGGAGAGGATGGGGCTGATGGGCTGAGAGGACGGGAAGGAAAGGGTTCTTTCCTGCTGGTTCCCACTGGTGCCAGAATACCATTAAGCCAGATCTCCGATCTTATTACTCTCCTAATTGAAACTCTTCCACGGAGGCCCGTCGCCCATAAGATGAAAGACCCAAAGCCTTGGCTGTCTGGCCTGTGCCCTCTTTCCCTGAAGGCCAGGGCTTTTCCTGGTCTTGCCAAGTCTTCCCACCCGGCCCTTCTCGCTCCAGGGCCCTGCGTATGCTGTTCCTCCACCTAGAATCAGCCCCCCTGTCCCTCTTGCTTCCTCATTAACTGTCATTCATCCTTTGAGTCCTTTCCCAGTGATGCCCTACCTTTACCCTCAGACTAGGCCAACCCTCACCCCGTTTGTGCCTCTATGGCCCTCTTGTCCTCCTCTGTAGCCTTTGCACTGTCACTGAGTTACTTGTCACCACTTGCTGTGTGTGTGTGTCTTCCTATTTGGGCTAGGTTCCATGCAGGCAGGGATGTCAGTCCTAGAGCCCACCACATCCTTCCTCCTCTCTGCCCCTGTGCCCAGCAGAGTGAGGCCTGGGAGGATGTGTGCTGAGCAGTGGTCTGCTCTGGGGGTCCTCTGGGACTAGGTCCAGGGCAGGAGCTGATGTTGGCCTGCTCTTTTCCAGGCCTGCTCTCCCTCCTGTACCTGCCCACGGGATTCTTCTCCCTGGCCCGCGGTGGCTGTCCCTCCCTGTCCACAGAGCTGCTACTCCTGCTGCAGCCATTGTCAGTGCTCACCTTCCACCTGGACTTGCTCTTTGAGCACCACCACCACCTGCCCCTGGGCCCACCTCAGGCCCCTGCCCCTCCAGGCCCACCTCCGGCTCTGCAGCAGACTATGCAGGCCATGCTGCACTTGGGGGGCCGGCTGGCCCAGAGTCTTCGGGGGACTTCCAAGGAGGCTGCTCCAGACCCCTCAGACTCCCCAAACCTTCCCACACCAGGGAGCTGGTGGGAGCAGTTGACCCAGGCCTCCCGGGTCTATGCCTCTGGGGGCACTGAGGGCTTCCCTCTTTCCCGATGGGCACCGGGGCGTCATGGGACTGGAGCTGAAGAAGGTGCACAGGAGAGACCCCTGCCCACAGAGGAAACGGCGCCAGGCAGGGGCCTTTGGCTGGGAAGGCTATTTGGAGTGCCTGGGGGCACCACAGAAAATGAGAGTGGAGCCCTCAAGTCCAGGTAATGGGGTACCTTGTCCTCTCTAAGACCTTCTGACTCTCTCTGATCTCTTAGTGGGCTCATTTGAAACTGTCTAGTGATGATCCTTTAGGGCAGAAGGTGGCAGTCTGTTTTTCTACAGCCATGAGCTAAAAATGGCTACATTTTAATGGTTATATTAAGTGCCTACATAATGATCTCGATTTTCTCCCTTGGCCCTAGGGCCTAAAATACAGTTATCCCTACTTACATGTGGGGAATTCGTTCTGGGACCCTCACATACACTCAAGTCCGAGCATACTCAGTCGATGTGTAGGAAAAGACAGCCCTCGCGGTACATGCGGGTTTCACATCCGAGAATACTGTATTTTCTGTTCGGTTGAAAAAAACCTGCATATAGGTAGACCTGTGCATTTGAAACCTGCTTTGTTCAAGAGTCAACTGTCTTTACTATCTGGTCCTTTAGAAAAAAGAAAAACAGCCTGGGCAACATGGTGAAACCCTATCTCTACAAAAAAGTACAAAAATTAGCTGGGCATGGTGGCAGAAAAATTGCCAACCCCCGGCCTAGCATGCTGGCTCACTCCTGTAATCCCAGCACTTTGGGAGGCCGACACGGGTGATTAACCTGAGGTCAGGAGTTCGAGACCAGCCTGGCCAACATGGTGAAACCCCGTCTCAAAAAAAAAAAAGAATTGGGGCCGGGCGCAGTGGCTCAAGCCTGTAATCCCAGCACTTTGGGAGGCCGAGGCGGGTGGATCACGAGGTCAAGAGATCGAGACCATCCTGGTCAACATGGTGAAACCCCATCTCTACTAAAAATACAAAAAATTAGCTGGGCATGGTGGCTCGTGCCTGTAATTCCAGCTACTCAGGAGATTGCCTGAACCCAGGAGGCGGAGGTTGCGGTGAGCCGAGATCGCGCCATTGCACTCCAGCCTGGGTAACATGAGCGAAACTCCGTCCCCAAAAAAAAAAAAAATTAAAAAAAATTGCCAATCCCTGCTTCAGGCCTCAACAACTGGTGGCTCTTTAATGGTTCGAGATACTCTCTAGCGGCCCTTTAATCCTGATCATGTGTAGGCCCTGATGGGTCCGTAGGCTCCTTGTGATTTGTGGTGGTGTGGGCCTTTGTTGTCATCTCCCTAATCAGCCTAAAGTGCCTGTGTCCAACAATTACCACCTGCTCTCAGAAGTGACTAACCCCTGACCTCTTTTGAACCACAGTTAGGCCCCTTAGCCTCTCCCTCCCTCCAAACCCCAGGGTTCTTGGGTTTTTTGGGGGTGGGTTGACCTGTGACCCTATGTCCCTTCTTTTAGGAGACCATCTAGCTGGCTGCCCCCAACAGTGAGCATGTTGGCTCTTGTGAAGCGGGGGCCACCTCCCGAGACGCCTTCTCCTCAGGAGCTTGAGGCCTCAGCACCCAGGATGGTGCAAACCCACAGGTAAGGAGGACTGGGGAGAGTGCACGAGTGTGTAACCATGTATGCTACCACAGCATGGATGGGAGACAGTGTAAAAATCCCTGGGCTTTAAAATAAGACAGTGCTTAGTGTGCACTGCAGCTTTTCTGTTATCGTGTGACACTCATTTGTCTGAGCCTTGGATTCCTTTTTTTTTTGAGATGGAGTCTCGCTTTGTCGCCCAGGCTGGAGTGCAGTGGCACAATTTTGGCTTACTGCAACCTCCGCCTCCCAGGTTCAAGCGATTCTCCTGTCTCAGCCTCTTGAGTTGCTGGACTATAGTCACCCCCCCACCACGCCTGGCTAATTTTTATATTTTTAGTAGAGACAGGGTTTCAACCATGTTGGGCAGGCTGGTCTCGAACTCCTGACCTCAGGTGATCAGCCCGCCTTGGCCTCCCAAAGTGCTGGAATTACAGGCATGAGTCACTGTGCCTGGCCAGGATTCTTTCTGTAAGAGGATATGATACAATACCTTTTTTGTGGTTATAGAGACTAAACATAATTTTTTTGGCTATTTTTTTTAGTGAGACATAGTCTCACTCTTACCCAGGCTGGAGTGCAATGGCATGATCTCGGCTCACTGCAACCTCCACCTCCTGGGTTCAAGTGGTTGTCCTGCCTCAACCTCCTGAGTAGCTGGGATTATAAACACCTACCACCATGCCTGGCTAATTTTTGTATTTTTAGGAGAAACAAGGTTACACCATGTCGGCCAGGCTGGTCTCGAACTCCTGACCTTGTGATCTGCCTGCCTCGGCCTCCCAAAGTGCTGGGATTATAAGAGTGAGTCACTGCACCCAGCCTTACTTGTGTTTTAGAGAGATCTGACTGCTATGGGGAAAACAGGGCTGGGGAAGAGGTTGAGAGAGATTTATGCAAACAAGTTAAATTGTCCAGAGAGATCGGATAGAGGCTTAAACTAGGATGGTGGCAGCAGAGTTGAAGAGAAAAAGTACATGGGGGCTGGGTGCAGTGGCTCACGCCTGTAATCCCAGCACTTTGGGAGGCCGAGGCAGGTGGATAACCTGAGGTCAGGAGTTTGAGACCAGCCTTGCCAACATGGTGAAACCCCGTCTCTACTAAAAATACAAAAATTAGCTGGGCATGGGTGGCAAGTGCCTGTAGTCCCAGCTACTCGTGAGGCTGAGGCAGGAGAATTGCTTGAACCCAGGACATGGAGATTGCTGATATCACACCACTACACCCCAGCCTGGGCAACAGAGCAAGACTCTTTGTCTCAAAAAAAAAAAAAAAAAAAAAAAGTAGATGTAGTAGCAGTAGATCCAAACAAGTTTTGCTGATGGATTGGATCTGTGGCATGAGATCCCCAGGTTTTACCAGGAGTAAGTGTGGGTAGAAATTGGTGCTGTTTACCACTATAGGCAACATGAAGAGGGACTGGTTTTGAGGGCGAGTCATTTTGTTTGCATATGTTGAATTTGAAGCACCAGAGAGAAGTGCAAATAGTGTCAAATAAGCAGCTGAAGTGGGTTTGGCACTCAGGAGAAGGCTGAGGCCCCAGATAGAATCACCATGTTGATGAATGGTTCTTAAGTCTCTTCCAGAGCCCAGTCAATATTCACTGAGCCGAATCCACAAGGGCACTCTTTAGAGGTGAAGCCTGGGGACAGCTGGGCACCCTCACCTCACTTCATTCCAGCATCTTCCTCTGGCTCCCCTCAGGGCAGTTCGGGCTCTCTGTGACCACACTGCTGCAAGACCTGACCAGTTGAGCTTCCGGCGTGGGGAAGTGCTGCGTGTCATCACCACAGTGGATGAGGACTGGCTCCGCTGTGGGCGGGATGGCGTGGAGGGTCTGGTGCCTGTGGGGTATACCTCCCTTGTTCTGTAGCCCTGGGACCCTTTCCTGCATATATGTCTCCCTCCTGTCACCTGGGGATGGCCAGTGAACACCATCCCAGAAGCATTTTCCCTGTCTGCAAAATGACATTTTTTCCCACATCTGTTTCTGCTAATATTTAAAATAAATGTTCCTTCTTCCCTCCTATGCCCACCTGTAAGGTGAAATCTGCTCTTCTTCCAAATATATAAAAAGGGAATTGCCTTCCATGCAATCCCTTTCCTTTTTCCCATCTGTATAAGGGAATGTCTTCCTTCCTATCTGCAAAATGGAAATCTAGACCTCCTACTTCATCCATAAGTGGACTGTGCCAGTACAATCCATGCCTCAGCCCCCAAGCCTAGGACCTCACTCCGTCCTGTGTATGGAATCTTCCCCACGCCACCTCTCCCACATTGCCTGTATTGATAATGTACTCATGCTGTACTAGGTGCTGAAGCCTGGACACCCCTGGTGGGTGGGCCTGTGATGATGGTCTGCATCCTTCCTCCTTTGTCCCAATAAAGTATGGGAGTTGAATGTGTGTCTTTCACTGTGGGTTTCAGGACATAGGCTGTGGGGGAGGAGAAGAAGGACCTCTTATGGGAGGCATAAGGCAGATGTTTATTCCTAGCCCAGGTTTAGTTCGTAATGCTCCCTGAATAGAGAAGTAGTCCCTCATTGGTTCCTCTCACAAGTGCTTCTCTATTCTATGACTTTCTCTGTTTTGTTAACACTGACAGGATAGGAGCCTGCATAAATATGGGGGAGGAGACTTAGCTCTTGAAATTGTAGTTCATATCTGAGGTGAAGGGAAGGATTAAAGAGTTATACCAGGGACAGTGACTCACACCTGTAATCCCAGCACTTTCGGAGGCTGAGGCAAGCAAATCGCATAAGCTCAGGAGTTCAAAACCAGCCTGGGCAACATGGCAAAACCCTGTCTCTACCAAAAAAAAAAAAAAAAATCAACCAGGTGTGGTGACACATGCCTGTGGTCCCAGCTAGTTGGAGGGCTGAGGCAGGAGGATCCTTTGAGCCCAGGAGGTCGAAGCTGCAGTGAGCCGAGATTGTGCCACTGCATTCCAGCCTGGGTGACAAAGTGAGACCCTGTCTCAAAACAACAGTTGAGTTGTAAGAAATGTCACCATTTTTTTTTCAGCCAGGCATGGTGGCTCACTCCTGTTAATCCCAGCACTTTGGGAGGCTGAGGCGGGTGGATCACCTGAGGTCAGATGTTCGAGACCAGCCTGACCAACATGAAGAAACCCTGTCTCTACTAAAAATACAAAATTAGCTGGGTGTGGTGGCACATGCCTGTAATCCCAGTTACTCGAGGGGTTGAGGCAGGAGAATCGCTTGAACCCAGGAGGTAAAGGTTGTGGTGAGCTGAGATCGCGCCATTGTACTCCTGCCTGGGCAACAAAAGCGAAACTCCATCTCAAAAATAAAGAAAGAAGGAAAGAAAGATAAGCTCAAGCAAATTTAAAAGTGCATATTGTTTTTGCAGTCATCAAGAAACCATTATGTAACAGCAGGTCACTGATCTAAGTCTTGAACCTCAAATCCCTACACGAGTAGAGACTGAACTGTTGGAGTAAACTGCCTTGCTGCTTCTGAGCAACTGTATTCTAGCTGACCTCCCAGCCTAAATGTTTGACTCATGTCCGGGACAAAATTTTGGTAGGCCTTTCAGTTATCTGAAGGAATGGGTTTATCTTTCTTAATTAGAAGAGTCACTTTAGCTATTTTTGACACTTTTCTATTTGTGGATGAGCACACAGCCTTTGGAGTTCTGGCTCCAACATTAGTTAGGGGGTGACCTGTGGCAACTTACTAACCTACTCCAGTGTTAGTTTTCCCTGTTACAAAATGGGAATGACTTCAGAGGGCTACTACGGAGATTAACCATGTGATCTTGGGCAAGTTACTTACATTGTTTTTTGCTTCAATTTCCTCATTTACAAAATTGGGATTTGGTACCTACCACAAAGGGCTTTTGTGAGGATTAATAAATACATGGAAACGGCTTATGACAGAAATGGTCTAATACAGTGGCCTAAAAAAATGTAGCCTTAAGTTATATATTGCCAGCCTCAGTGGTTGCTAATGAGAATTAATGAGATGATGATGCATGTGTGTGCAAAGAATGGACATGTAGAATATCACAGCATGTTGGGTTTTTTTTTTTTGAGACAGAGTCTCACTCTGTTTTCCACACTGGAGTGCAATGGCACAGTCTCGGCTCACTGCAACCTCCACCTCCTGGGTTCAAGCAATTCTCCTGCCTCAGCCTTCCGAGTAGCTAGGATTATAGGCGCCCGCCACCACACCTGGCTAATTTTTGTATTTTTAATAGAGACGGGGTTTCACTGTGTTAGCCAGGATGGTCTTGATCTCCTGATCTTGTGATCTGCACGCCTGCTGGGATTATAGGAATGAGCCACTGTGCCTGGCCACATGGCATATTTAAGAAACCATGTGAGACCAGCCTGACCGACATGGTGAAAGCCATGTCTCTACTAAAATACAAAAAAATTTAGCCGGGCATGGTGGCAGCTGACTATAATCCCAGCTACTTGGGAGGCTGAGGGAGGAGAATCCCTTGAACCCAGGAGGTGGAGATTGCAGTTAGCGGGGGTTGCAACACTGCACTCCAGCCTGGGTGACAGAGGGAAACTAAGACGCAAAAAAAGAAAAAAAAAAAAAAAAAAGCCGGGTGTGGTGGCTCACACCTATAAACCTAGCACTTTGGGAAGCCAAAGCGGGCAGATCATGAGGTCAGGAGTTCAAGACCAGCCTGGCTAACACAGCGAAACCCCGTCTCCACTAAAAATACAAAAATTAGCTGGGTGTGGTGGTGCGCATCTATAGTCCCAGCTACTCGGGAGGCTGAGGCAGAATTGCTTGATTCCCCAGAGGCAAAGGTTGCAGTGAGCTGAGACTCCGTCTCAAAAGAAAAAAAAAAAAAAAGAAAAAAACCAGCTGGGCCAGGCACGGTGGCTCATGCCTCTAATCCCAGAACTTTGGGAGGCTGAGGTGGGTGTATCACTTGAGCCCAAGAGGTCGAGACCAGCCTGGGCAACACAGGGAGACCCCCATCTCTATAAAAAATAAAAACATTAGCCAGGCATGGTGGTACGCCCCTGCAGTCCTAGCTACTCAGGAGGCTAAGGGGAGAGGATTGCTTGAGCCTAAGAGGTTGAGTTTGCAGTGAGCTGTAATGCGCCACTGCACTCCAGCCTGGGCAATAGAGTGAGGCCTTGTCTTAAAAACAACAAACAAACAAACAAACAAAAAACAGCTGAACTAGCCTGGGCAACATGGTGAAACCCTGTCTGCACAAAAAGTACAATTATTAGCCAGGCATGGTGGTGCGTGCCTGTAGTTCCAGCTACTTGGGAGGCTGAGTCTGGGATACGGAGGTTGCAGTGAGCCAAGATAGCACCATTCCACTCCACCTTGGGTAACAGTGAGACCCTGTCTCAAAAACAAAAAACAGAAAAGCAACTGGACATTTGATGTGTGTGATTATTGTGCTGATAGGTTAGGCTAGGTCCCGACTAGAAAGATCCTAGTACTGAAGAAATGACGTTATCCAGTAGTCAACAGCAGTGAGAGTGCTCATATGCAGCCTAGCATATTTATGATGTTGTTTCAGAAAGATCCCCTCAGAAACAGGATGAAGTTGTTCTTGGAAGATAAATGGGGGATAAGAAAGAGGAAAAAAATAGCAAGCTCACCAGTCCACAGTTAGGAAAAGTTTTTCCATTTAATACTAGACTTTCAAGGATTGAGATGCAAGCTTTGTATGCAATTACATCCAATGTTAAAATTGGTAATACATAATTTACAAAGATTAACATCAAAACAATCATCTATTTAGATATGCTTTTGTAAAAAGGAAATATATTAGCAGCATTTATATTTTCCGCAATCACACAGCCTACAGACATGCAGACTAACTCTGTATCTATTTGCAGTGATGTAGTGCTTTGCCCCGCATTTCAAACACCAAAACCCGCCTGGCAGCTGGGGGGTTCTTTTTATTTCGTTATAAAATAACTGAAAAATAAAAAAAGGCATTAATTTCTACACCAGTAAGAAAAAACAAGTTTTTGCACTTACCTAACATTTGATTGTCTAAAAAACATTTCAGTTTTTTTTAGTCTTTCAACAAAAGAAAGATAAAATGACAGAGCGTAGTGTCTTTTGCTTCTGTTCTCGAATTTTACAAAGTTTTTTTTCTTTTTTGTCTTTTTTAAAATTTTAGTGTTTAACACTATAAAGGAAACATTGAATTTTAATCTCTTTCTTGTCATTTTCTCGCTTTTGACTAAAAGGAGACCCCCAAAGTGCCCCTAGTCCCACCTCCCTCCCACCCACTCCCTGCAATGAAAAACAAAAGAAACCACTCAAACGGGCTTGGACATGCGATTTTTCCAGCTCCACATGTGAGTATCTTATACCCAGGTCTCTTAGTAATGTACAGTGCTTCTCTACAGTAAGAAAATACTCCAAACTATTTTCTTAATTCTTTTTTAATAAAATATTTATTTTGCTTTTTTTCTCTGCTCAAGGGGATCACTGGCATCCCCTATCTCTTTTGTTTTTTCCTCAAGAATGACACAGAAAGGAGAAAAAGAAAAAAAGATTCAATGGAATGGAAGGTGGTCAATGTGTCTACCTAAACAAGTCAGAGCATCGTCACCATAAGGGGAAATGTACAATTAGGACAGCATTGGTCCAATATTAGAAAAAAGTAATGGGGACATGTTTACTATTGTATTGCTTACCAATCACGCAGCAGATGTGTGTATATATGTACATATACACACATACACACACACACTCACATATATATATATACACACACAACTTGGCACATTTAAAAACCATCTTTTCTCTTAGAACATCTAAAACGTATATGCATATGTATGTCTGAAAAGACAACAAAGCTTTTTAAATTTTATTTTTAAAGAGACAGTATAGTCTGGTAACTTCTGGTCAAGAGAGTAGGAAGGAAGGAGACACCCTGGATATACCTCCTGATGTCACTCAGGAGGGTAAAGGAAGATGGGACTAGGGGTGAAGAGAAATACACTGTCTCTTTAAGAAAGGGACATTGAAAACTGTACAATTAAGAAAACAAGAGTAGTGTTTTCAATTGATAATCTACACTCACAACAAATACTTTGATAGGTGAATACTGCTGAACAGTTTATGTAGTGACTTTTGTTACGGGGTGGTTTTAGAGTTATTTTTATGTAGGTTTTAAAATGATTTTATTTTGAACTGAATCTCCATTTGCACGGCACAGCAGACACACGAGAACTACAGCGCATTAAAAACAGCATGTGTGCTGGCGGGGGCCTGGCTTTCTCATTAGAAAAAAATATGTTTGACAGGTTATGAAGGGTAAAACAAAAATAATTGTAAGAACTACTGTACCCTTCTGACCCCATGGGGGCCTTCCCTATCCCATGGTTCCATTTTGGGGAGTAGAGGTAAGGAAGGGGCAGCAGTTACAAGTGCTTTGA